TAAAAAGCGTCTTTGCTTCAAGATCCGATAATAATTCAGCAAACTCATCTTGCAGGTTGATGTCCACGTTTTTGATGATGCGTTTATTAATTTATGTTCTGTAAAGAAACTGATATTAAGTCAAATATTAAAAAAAAATCACAAATTTTACATACTCAATTAGATATTTGGGCTTTACGTATTAAGAACTGTTTTTTCTTCGACCCCCACTTTTGTTAAATAGACCCCTGAGGGTCTATATAGACCACTTTGGTGACCTCTAACCTAGGGGCACCATCTCATATGAAGAAGTCAATTGTTATCTCACCTTAGTTCAAGCTTACTAATAATGAGACCAAAAATTAAGTCAACAATTTAAGATCACCTAATAAAGACGAAAATTTATTCAAATATACATAATTATTTTACATTAATCTTGTACATCAACAAAAGCTTCACTTAGAATACATACAAGCATAGCTGCCAACTCTTCCAGTTTTCCCGGAAAATTTTATTTTCATATTTAAAGTGCTAGCGAAATTCATGTCATTTCACTAAACTTTTTGAATTATAATAATAATTTTAAATCAGTTTGACCACCACTACATATAAATAATTATAACAAATATATAAAAGCATATTAGTCCTTACGATAGCGAATTTTCACCTTATAAAAATGTAAATATATTTTTGAGGAAGATAGTTTTTCGGTAATTGTTTTACTACCACTTGGAAAATCCATTCTCGAAAAGAGTGAATGTTGGCAAGTATGCACAATGCTCTTTTTAATTTTTGTAATAAATACAGAAAATAAATGAAGAATAAAAATTCATCACATAAAATACGGTTGGTTGGGTTTTATTGGCACAAGAGCCAAAAATGGCTATGCCGCGCCAGGCACTAGGTTAAAAGTCGGTATCTAAGTTAAATTACTGTATTATTTTAAAGCTGAGGATATAGTCTTATAGTTTTAATAAACTTTAAAAGGTTGTGATGTATAGGTTCACCAAGTAAAAATTGAAGATTATGATAAAAGCTGCCAAAAAGTTTGTTCCTCAAATGTTTGAATCGTTCGCAGTCTGTCAAAATATGTTTAATAGTATTGTTTACACGACATAAAGAACAACTAGGTGCAGGTTCATATTTTAGTAAATGCATGCGAGTAAAACGGGAATGACCAATGCGCAGTCTATTAATAATAACCTGGGTTTTACGATCAATATCTATTGTTGTGAAGTTGTCAAGATTAGGATAAATTTCGTGCAGTTTATTATTAATTTGTTTATTCCAATGTTCTTTTCAAACCTTGTGTACTGTAGCTTTACATATTCGTTTAAAATCAAGAGATGTTATAAGGTTATTGCTTACATTTTTGGTGGTTTTAGCCGTAATATCTGCAAGATCGTTTCCGCGTATGCCAACATGTGATGGTATCCAACAAAAGTAGATGTGGAACCCTCCATCACACAATTTTATAAAGCAATTTTGAATTTTAGAAATCATGGGGTTTCCCCCGATGTGAGGAATACTTGATATAAAACTGCGAGAGTCAGTATAAATTATCCACTTGCAATGAGTTTGGTCAGAGATAAAATTAAGAGCTAGCAAAATAGCATAGCATTCTGCAGTAAAAATTGATGAGTCTTGGTGCAATTGTTCAGATATAGTACAATGTTCAATAACCACACCACAGCCAACATGGCTATCATGTTTTGAACCATCAGTAAAAATTGGTTTAAAATCATTATAATAATTACGATGATCATAAAATTTTTGGATAAAAACGCTAGAGCAGGTGTCAGATTTTTTGAAATTATTATAGATATCTAGGACACACATCGAGACATCGACCCAAGAAGGTGCGATAGTCTCTATATTAGTAAAAGCTGCGAAATTGAAAATGTTAAAATCATCTAAAATATTAATGATTCTTATCCCAAATGAAGGAATGCCGGATGGACGTGAAGAGAAATGGGTGGTAAATTGCGGATTGATGACACTTGAATATAACGGATGATGTGGATTTGATTTGATTTTAAAATAATAATCCAAGGAAAGTTGAGAGCTACGAAAATGAAGAGTTGGTTCTGAACATAACGCATACAGACTCTCAATTGGCGAAGTTCGAAATGCGCCCGACGATATTCTAAGACCTTGATGATGGATTGTGTCGAGATATTTTAGAACAGATGGACGCGCTGAAGAATATACGGGAATACCATAGTCTAGTTTTGAACGGATAACAGCACGGTAAATTTTAAGCAGTGGAGTCATATCGGCCCCCCACGAACAGTTAGTGAGGATCTTGAGTATGTTCATGGAGTGGGAACATATTTTCTTAATATAAAATATGTGTGGTTTGAATGTAAGCTTTTCATCGAAAATCATGCCTAGATACTTGGTTTCTGCTAAAACAGGAATCACGTTATTATTAAGAGTTATTTCAGGATGAAGATGCATACCACGTTTACGACAGAAATGAACACAATGAGTTTTTTGTGAAGAAAATGTAAAACCGTTTTCATTTGCCCATTTTAGAATTTTATTTACAGACATTTGCAATTGACGTTCAATTAGTGACATATTGAGAGATCGGCATGATATTCTAAAATCATCTACAAATAACTCGTCATAGACAGTTGTAGGAACTTGATGCAGCATGTCATTAATTTTCAAGAAGAAGAGTGTCACGCTTAAAACACTTCCCTGAGGAACACCCTGCTCATGAGGGAAAACATCTGATAAAATGGAATTAATTTTAACTCTAAAAGTTCTGTTAGATAAAAAGTTTTTAATAAAATAAAACAAGTTGCCTCCAATGTCACATTTGATTAAATCCCGCAGTATTCCATACCGCCAAGTCCTGTCATAGGCTTTTTCCATATCAAAGAATATTGAGACTAGGTGCTGTTTTTTCAGAAAGGCATGACGAATATCGGTTTCCAGTTTTAATAGATTATCATTAGTGCTGCGTCCTCTGAAGAATCCGCTTTGAAATGGAGATAGTTGATTTCGAGATTCAAGTAAAAATATTAAGCGTTTACTAACCATCTTCTCAAAAAGTTTACAAAGGCAGCTGGTTAAAGCAATTGGTCATAAAATACAGATAAAAACATGCATAGTAATATAGTAGAGTTAATATCTATACACTAATATTAGTCATAAAATTAATGTAGATAAAATATACACAAAATTAGCAAAAAAGAAAATATAACCATTATACATACATGAGTATAGCAAAAAGGAAAATAAATTATAGCTGCAAGAAATATTAAGGACATATTGCCTCTTATTTTCAAATATCTGTAATTTGAATACAGGTAACTTGTTGTATAATAAGATCTGAAAATATTTTTTCATATCCAATTAATTCTATTTTAAGTATTAAAAAAATTATCTACTATGAAAAACTTAAGAATTGAGTAACAAAAAAATTATTTTTATTTGTAAAAAATAAATAAAAAAATAACAAATAGTTTCAGCAATCAATAGTTTTCTTTTTATTAGAAAACTAGGATTATACTTTCTATGAACGTTTTCAAGCAACAAAATATCACTCCTTAGGGTACGTTTGAAATATAAAAAATATCTGTAGCTGTAATTTTCAATCTACATTGCGTTCCTTTTGATTCTTGGACTATAAATAAAAGATACAAAGCAATTACTCAAAACAAAGTGGAAAAAAATTACAGAAACTGCAGCAAAACAAGTATATACAAAAACCTTTTACTACTTTGATATGAACTATTATGCATAGATTAAAACCCAAAATGTTTACACATAAAATATATATAATGTTAATCGGTACAATACTTTAACTATATGACAAATAATAGATATAGAATAATTATCAAAAATACAAATCAAACAATACATAGAAAATACAAAAAAATAAATACAGAATAATACACAACACAAACACAGCGATATTTGCCACCTTATAATGGGAAGTTTTGAAATTATTAAAGGCAATTTTATATAATTATAATAGCGATATATTTAATGTAATACCAGAATTGATAAAAATTTTTGAATACTATATATGCCGTATGATTATGCGGCATGTAAAAGATCCCTGTAGTGCCTTATTGGCTCTTGGCATTTCCGGCAAAATTAAATTCCTAGTGCACTTTAGCATCCAAATAAAGTCTCAGTGTTGTCATCTAGTATGGCAGAAACTAGACGCCCAAATTAACATGGCCAACGGCATCTCATCCATTCAGGTGGTCCTAAAAGAGTGCATACCACTTCTGGAGAACGCACTAGGTCTGCTCATCGGGAAGGCTGATTGTGCAGCTCATAGGAAATAAAAATATTAAAAGTAAAATTTTTTCTCAACTAATTAATTCTACTTCACGTATATAACAAAACTTAATAAAATTGAGCTAGTGCATGAAAAATTTGTAAAGTTTGAGAGATAAAAAATTATGATGCACCGTAACATTTGAATTTATCTATAATTTGACAATTTCTTTTTTGACTTTTTAATATTTTTCATATCTTTATTAAGAAATCTAAGTTTATATTTAATCATTAACTTAGCATAATAATTTTTACAAGAACTACCCACAATTCTCTGTTGTGAGTATAACAATTGAGCCAGTCATGCTCTACTAAAAGATTATTAACTAACTCAATTTTTAGATCAGGAAGGTGCAAATATCTGGAAATAAACAGGAAAAATTTCTTCCCAACTGACAAATGGTGTCAATTAAATCTTCACACGGGTACGTTAAACCATACTTTAAATCATTAAATAACTTAAAATGTAACAATAAGGAACTTTCAGTTATGTTTTTTTCAGCCAAAGACACGCCTCACCTTGGAATTGAGCACACGTGTTCTTTGCGAGAAAACCAGCAACATAAGCTCCTGAAATCCGTTCACTTAGGTCAGTGTTTCCCAAACTGACTATTGTGTACCCTTTCTAAATTTTTCGTAACACGCAGAGAATCACTAATGAAAAAATGAATGAATTTTTTACTATAAAAAAATTGCACAAAAGTTATAAATCAGAATTATCTTCTGACAAAACTAATTATTAACTGTTAACTCTGCAAAAAATAGCCAATAGAAAAATACGAAATCGTATTTTTCTATTGAGTTGGGGCACATCAACAAAGGTTAAGATCTCATGCCCCTCTACTAAAAAAAAGAGCCGTTGAACTGTTACGCCTAGCTTTCTGGCATATAACTTTTGGTTGTTGACCACCTGATCGCACGTAACCACACTGAAATAACTTAAGATTTTCAGAGTGGCTGATGGAGCTGTAAGTGACAAAAATATGTAACCAGCCTGTTTCCACTTCTTGCAAAGACCACATACTATAAAACCAAATACACGAGTTGCAATTTTGGAAGTTTTTTCTGTATAGGAACCATATTCTACAAAACCTGTGACTTTACCCTTGTGTTTTTCATAGGTAAGCCCAGGTTTTAAAAACATCTCATCAAAAGAAACAACACATATTCTTTCACGGGGTTTTAACTTACTGGCTATGAGCTTCATAGAGTTGAACACAGCAGTTGAAAATCCAGGTTCTAATTTAATACTAGAGACAGCTTTTAACAATGTAGCTTTGCTAGGCAGTAGGCGATACGATTTAGGACTTGCAAGGTACAACTGTAAACAAAGATTTTTATCATTCACAGACCACCTTCGTCCATACTTAGATACATTACATGACAATAATTGGCATTTGATAAATTGATATATACTGGGAGTTACTAGAGGCTGTATCAAACTTTAAATACTCTTTATATCGAGGGCAGTGCACTTTTTTATACTTTTCAGTTTCTTCTTCAAGAAGTTCAACTTGCTGGACAGCTTTCTTATCTTTCTTGTTTTTGAGGTTATAACCCTCTTTGGTGTCTGGCAAATCACTGAAGAGGTAGAATAATAATAATAAGAAAATAAATATAATTTATTATTTTAGCTTAGTCAAACATTTTTTGCTTTAAATTAATTATTATAATACATGATTAATAAAATAATTGCGCTCTTTTGCTTACAGCAACTGAATTTTGTGTTAGTTTGCATCAGAGTATTTTTCCTGTAAATCAAATACTAAAAAAAATCAATCTAAGGGGGGGGGGAAATAATAGTTCTTCAATTTTTAAGTACAAATAAAAATATATTTCTTTTAGATAAATGATGATATAATGTGACATTTTAAAATAATGAGACAAAAAATTAAGACAACAATTTAAGATCCAGTAAAAACAAAAATTTATTCAAATATACATAATAAATACACATAATAATACATAATAAATACACATTTTACATTAAACTTGTACATCAACAACATAGGCTTGAATTTGAAAATTGTAATAAAATTGTTTTTAATTTTTGTAATAAATACATGAATTAAATGGCAAAGAAATATCACTCAGTAGGGTACATTTGAAATATAAAAAATATCTAACTGTAATTTACAATCTACACTGCATTCCTTTTGATTCTTGGATTATAACTTAAATAAAAGATATAAAGCAACTAATACAAGATAGACACAAATTAAAATACAAAAAATCTGGGTCGTGTATCAATATTTATTCGAAACAACTTAATAATAATTTGCGATATAACATTAGCAAAAATGTATGGGAGACAGCATTTTTTTTCTAACCAAAATGCAAAATACAGGGTATCTGCTACATTTTAGACTCTCAAATCCATGACTAATTACAAGAATTTTTCATGACTTACCGAAGTTACTATTTTCTCTGACAAAAAAGCAACAGTAAATTTAAAAAAGAATTATAATAACATTAATTGAAATTATAGGTTTAACCTAAACTGTTAATACTCTGCATCCTCACATTTATAGATTTTAAATTTAAAAAATAGAGTGAAAAAAGAGTTGAAGCAATAAAATACTGGAAAAAAATCACAAAAGCAAATAATTTTTTTTTCTTTCTTTTTTCTGGAGAATTGTTTTCTTACGATAATTTTCTTGCTCATCAGAAAGGAAAGAAATATTCCTGATTTTTCCGTTCTCATTTCGGAATAAAAAAAATTGCCAAACACTGTCTTGCTTCAGCTAGAATTTAAAAATAATAAAATAAAAATAATAAATCAATACCAAAAATTATGTTTTTTCTTTCATTTTTTGAAAGAACACCATAATTTTTAAAGTATATGATAAAAAAAAATTATATTTGATTATTGTGAGTAGGGATTTTGTTAGAAATTCAGACCACCATGAAATTAGGGGGGGGGGTGATAAATTTAATTTTAACAATTAGAATAATCATGACTTCCCAGGTGCGCGGATACCCTGTAAATACAAATACAGCCAACTAGTAACTGCCAGTTCAATAATAAGACATAATTAATAGAATATAACATAAATAATAGAATATAACATAAATAATAGACTAAGACTGGTAGAGCGAACCAATGGTACGCGTACCATTTATGGCACCCGACACAATATTTTGGGCACGCCACCGATCACATTTGTTATTACACAAATGTTATTACACTATGAAGCATATGTAACAATTAAATTAAAATTCACAAAATAATAAACAATTATTAATAAAAAAATTAACAATTAATGCTAAAAAAGCAATTAATAACCATAAATAACAAGCTAACAATAAATAACTAGCAAAAAAAATTAACAGTCCTGTTTAAACAAACATCTTACAACCTAATATAAGTTATTAGTCATCTAATCTGCAACTACAGAAGTCACACTAATGTTACTTGAAAGTTGAATTACGCGTATAACTGACGTATTGCAAAATGTATTTTTTCNCAGCCTGAATCACGTGTTGTTCAAATTTTTTCGATACGATGATTTTTTATGATTTTATAGCTATTTTTCTGAAAAGTGGGCGTGGCACTTTTGACGTTCCATAAGCTGTCTGTTTGTTTACATTGTAGTTATCAAGCTTATTTTGATTTTTTTTTATGTTCAAATCAATATTTCTATAAAATATCTTTTAAATAGTATAATGTGACACTGTTTGGCAACGCCAAATTAACTTTAACCGTACTTTTGTTTACATTTTCGCATTTGTTTATGTTTATTTTTTGCGACGTTTGCTATCATATTCGAACTCGTATAAAATATCTTATTTGTTGATTTTTTTCGTTGTTTTGTTTTATTTTCATTATATTTTCGTTATCTTTTTGTTTTTGTTAGCTTTTTTTTGTTGTAGCTTTGTTAGTTTTTTTGTTATTTTGTTGCTCCTGTTTTTCTTTGAGCAATGGATCAAATAAGTTCGAGATGGCGTAAATCAACATCTCGCCCATCTAAAAAGAAGCAACTTGCTATTGAAAGAGCAAGAAAGAGATGGAACAAGTCTGATACTTCTTGTTCAGTTGATGCTAGTGACAACAATCTAAATGAGTCTAGAACTCAAAAGAAACTGAAACTTTTTTCTGAGGAAATGCCATTGTCAGATGATGCACCTTCATGTTCCACCACAACTCTTGTATCAGATGTAGTGTGGCCAGATCTACTGAAAGAACTCAAATGTACTCACTGTGAGAAACATTGTCTGAATGTACATAAAACAACAGATAAAGATGATGTTGTGGAAAGTATAATAAATGTTGGTGTATCTTTCGACGGTACGTGGCAGAAACGTGGTTATAGCTCGTTGTACGGCATTGGCTGCGTTATTGATATATTGACTGGACTGGTGATTGACTTTGAAATAATGTCGAAATATTGCCATTTGTGCGAAGTTTCGAAAAGTGAACTTAAATTCTCTTCACCTGAGTATCAGATATGGTATGAAGGACACAAAAGTTCGGGTCTTTGTGAAAAAAAACTTTGAAGGTTCTTCAAATGCCATGGAAATGTCTGCGGCGGAAATTTTGTGGGGCCGTTCTGTTACAGAATGCAAAATGCGGTACACAACTCTTCTTTCTGATGGGGACTCCAAAAAATTTTTGCATCTAAAAAAAATGGATGTGTATGATGGTATTGATATTGAGAAGGAAGAGTGCGTGAATCACGTGGCAAAAAGACTAGGTACAGCGCTTCGTAATAAAGTTAAAGAATTTAAAGTGAATGGTGAAACATTGGGGGGGGGAGCGAAAAGGGCACTTGACAGATGCTCTTATATCAAGGCTCACTAATTATTACAGGCGAGCTATCACAACTAATGCTCCGAATGTCGACGCAATGAAATCATCGATATTTGCTTCTCTATATCATTGCTCGTCAACAGACGCGAAACCAAAACATTTCAAGTGCCCCCAAGGAGCAAGCTCTTGGTGTTTTTATAATCGTGCAAAAGCCCTTGGGCAAAAAGTACCAAGTCATTCAACGATGAAAGCTTTCCTAAACAGTAATATACTAGTCAAAATCATGCCAATATATCAACGATTGGC